GCAGGTAAATTCCCAGGTGGCCACAGGAGTGAGAGAGCGAAACTGTGTCTGGGGAGGATCGATCCCTGGCCTAGACCAACAGGGCGATCATTCCAACCAAACGAGAACCACTCGCCCACCACCATGTGGCTAGTAAGATTGAAGTTCTTAACCATAAAGTGGTTTCAAAATACTAGTGTTTTCTGATGAAACTATGTAACTGAATTAATCAGTCGGAAATTCTATAACTAGTTTAGGAACTAGATAATACGCAAAAACATGAGCAGTTAGTTAGTTTTTTGTCTAGATCTAAAATTTGGAGGTTAAAACTCAAAATACACGGAGTATTACACAATGAAAACATGAAGAAGTCAAGAATCAGTAAGTTTTTACTCTCACTTTAATGAGCTTCCACGGATCAAACTTTGTCTCCCAATATTCACTGAAAAGTTGATTTACAGCACACGTTTTTTTTTTTTTTTATCATAGCATGTTATATCTTTGGGGATTATTAACAAAAAAAAATTGGTTGTGTAAATTATTTTAATTAATTTTATTGTATTTAAAATTTAAAGTGATTATTAAAGATAATGTAACAATTGATTATGTGTTGAGAAAAACAGGTATATGTAAAAGTCATAGTTAAATAATACTGACATTTTGCCCAAAAAAAAAAAAAATACTGACATATTATATCTCATTATTTTTGCAAACACACATACATATATAGAGACAAAGATCTTAAGCGTACATAATTCAAATCGAACTCACAGAAGTCAATAAGCTCGTAAAACTACAAAATATCTGGCAGTCTTTGACAAGATTTGTTTTCCAACAGAAATGGTCATTTCAGTGAATCATTTATCTCTATCCATAGTTTCTAAATGTATCGTTACTTATATCTCACAACATATATATCATATACATATCGGGTATTTATTACGGTCTCCAGATTTAAATAATTTGTTTTTCTATAAATTTCAAAGATTAATCTGAGTTTATATATATAATATATAGTGTATGTCTTTTACCATATATATATATATATATATATATAGTGTATGTGTCACTATATGACATAGACCTTCAAGTTGGTGGATGAAATTTTCTTCCCAGTTGCAAGAGCAAGCTGACTAACATTTTTTGTTAATAATTTATTTCTTTCTATATGGTTTTTATTATTTTTTTGTTGACTTTAAGTTTTTGCCTTTTATGGGACTGCAATCACCCGTGCCAACTTTTGATCTTCATCGCCTAAAAAAGAAAGCTAAGGCTACCATTATGGACCGAAAATACTTAAGGCCATACTACAAATTTATAAGATATTTAGATTATCATTTGAAAAATTAAGCAAAGTAAATCAAATTAACTTTAAACAAAATATGAGCTTATAATAAGTTTGAGAATGTTAAAAATAATTAAATCATTAAATTATTAGAGAAACTATTGTTTTTTCATAGCATGGACATGGTATATTTTATGTGGACGTTTCTTTTTTACTCAATGGAGATTATAGTTTTAAAATAATGTATTTAGGGTTTAGTTTTGCTAGGTGTCCATTTGATAAATAAATGAAAGATAACATTTCGAATTAATTTGAAAACAATATTTGATGGTAATAATTCGTTACATCATTTCTGTTTTCTTAATTTCATGTCAAAAATATTTCCATCTATCTAATTTAGTCTTTAAAATATAGAATATAACATGATTGTGTTAAACATAACTATTTTGAGGTAACAAGTAAAAATTTGTTGTTTCTATTCTTGAATTTTTATTCTGTGTAAGTCATTTAAATGTAATTTGAAACACACAGAATTGGTGTTTGCCCACAAAAACACACACACACAGGATTGGTGAACATGTAAATACTAACACAAAAATAGTCATCATTACAAGAAAAAGAAAAAAAAGGAACGAAGAAGCAAAAAAATTAAGGAGATATTATATTATTGGAGAATCTTTCTTTAGTCTTAGTTGGGAAGGTTTTGTGCTAGGAGATTAAAGGTATCCCTATTCTATGATAGAGGCGGGGGGGGTTATTGGACCAATCTATATATATTACCACAAGGCTTAAGATAAAGTGATAATACCCTCTCAAATTATTTTTAAACATTTTTCAAATATTTTATCAAAAGAAGCTTACGGTATAGACTATAGACTATATATGTCATACTTGCAGCTAGCAGTATTCTATAAGTATATTTAACTTCAATGGCTCGTTACGTGAACACAAGGTAATCTAGTAGACTTACGTGCCACATTAAACACATACGTAATTATACAAGTATCATGAAACTAAGAAATTAGAATTACTATAGCTATGACGACAAAAAATAAAATAAAAATAAAGAAATTACTAGTATGCGTCATACTCATGCATATGCATGTACAAATGCCGGTTTCAGTATTTAATTTAGTTAAAGCAATGATAATCAATTGATCAATTCTCTCTAACTCATGTATATTCCAAAAGACATATTGCCAAATTCCTTTTTTTTGTAATAGAAATCCATATATTCATTTATTATATTTTCAATATTTAAGAGTACTGAAATTAACATGAATATGAATATGGACTTTTCTGAATTTTGTGTATGATTTATAAGTGAGATATTTTGTCGGAGATGGATATTTGACAAGTTAACGTTATTTTATTAACTTCTTCTAAAAATTTAGGTACGAATTGACTTATTCTAAAGTCAACAAATAAATTTTAAAAGTAATGCTAACGGGTTCACATGGGAAACGAAAACACCCTAAACCACAAACAATCTTATTTTCTTTCCTTCTTTATATAAACCAAAGTTTCCCAAAAGGATTGTTCTCGTCATATGTACTTGTACAACAACCCAAAAAAAAAGAGAGATAAAAGAGGAAACAAAATCTCGAAAAGAGAGATATATATGGGTGAGGTGGCTTATATGGACGAAGGAGACTTAGAAGCAATAGTCAGAGGCTACTCCGGCTCCGGAAGCGCGTTTTCCGGCGAAAGTTCCAGTGGGTTTTCACCTTCGTTTTGCCTTCCGATGGAGACGTCTAGTTTCTACGAACCGGAGATAGAGACAACCGGTTTAGACGAGCTCGGTGAACTCTACAGACCCTTTTACCCTTTCTCCACACAAACGATCCTCACGAGCTCGGTCTCTCTCCCCGAAGATTCAAGAAGTTTCCGAGATGATAAGAAACAACGATCTCATGGTTGTCTTTTATCCAACGGATCAAGAGTTGATCATATCCGAATCCCAGAAACCAAATCAAAGAAGAGGTCAGTATTCTTGAAGTCTTGAGAGGGTTCTTTAAAATAATGCAAAAAAAAAAAAAGTTATGAAATATTCTTATAAAATCATATAAGAAAAGTGGGTTTAAGTAAAATAATTAGGAATTAATATATAGAGTTCTCAAGATGGTTTCATCTCCAACCGCGTTGTTTTAAATTCTCATAAATATATATATATATATATGCTTCTTGTTGAATTAGATCATAAATAAATAATAAAAATTTGAATTTGGACAGCAAGAAGAATCAACAGAAGAGAGTTGTTGAGCAAGTGAAGGAAGAGAATCTGTTGTCGGACGCATGGGGGTGGCGGAAATACGGGCAGAAACCCATCAAAGGATCTCCATACCCAAGGTCTTTAACCAATCCCGGTTTAATCTCATGTCTTACTTTCTCCTAATCTAACATAACCGGTTTACTAATCTCTCAATTTTGTTGTTTCTTTTCCTTCAGGAGTTATTACCGGTGTAGTAGCTCAAAAGGGTGTTTGGCAAGAAAACAAGTCGAAAGAAATCCTCAAAACCCGGAGAAATTCACCATAACATACACTAATGAGCACAATCATGAACTACCGACCCGGAGAAACTCATTAGCCGGTTCGACTCGAGCAAAAACTTCCCAAACCAAACAATCCTTAACCAAAAAATCCGGAAAAGAAGTGGTTGTTTCTTCTCCCACAAGTAATCCCATGATCGCATCCGCCGATGAATCTTCTGTTGCGATTCAAGAAATGGGTGTTGTAGAAATTAGTACCTACCAAGCAGCTGGAGAAATCCAGGGCATGAGTAACGGTTTACCATCGGATTTGATGTCAGGGAGCGGAACTTTTCCGTGTTTTACCGGTGACTTCGATGAACTACTGAATAGCCAAGAGTTCTTCAGTGGGTACTTATGGAATTACTAGACAACATTAGGTGTATGTATATATACATATATTCAAACTTATATTATAGTTTCAGCCATTGAGGGAAATGTATATTTATTTCTGGTCTCTAGAAGGTTAGAGCGTCGTAATTTTCGTCTTGTTTCCTACTTAAGCTTTAACCAATATAATTCGATTTTTCTTGTCATGCAAATGGTAAGACAATCCGTTTTATTTACCCATGAGTCGTTTAGTATTCAACATTTGTCACTGTTCTAATTTCTAAAAAAGGATTCGCCTAAACGCTAGAGGCTAGGTTAAATGGAAGAGTCTTTTAGACGGTCTAAACAGTCAATTAGGCATCCTAGAAAATCTATTTACCAACTCAGCCGCGCGCATTTATTTTGTTAGTGATAAAACAAAACATATTATATTCAATTGTATTGTCAAATGATTTAATTCAAGCGCGTGATCTTGATATCTTTAATTAAGTAACTAAAAGTGTCATTTGTTTGAATTCAGATAATATATATCATTAATCTAGCTAAATGTCATGCTATTTTGTTAGCGGAGCGGCTAAATCCATATTAACGGTTAAATATATTTCTCCAAAACACACCACCATTTACATGTTTTTGTTAATATAGACCTAAGCAGTTGTGTGAAGCCATTTGTGATTTGGCCTTTGGGATCGTTATCATCATAAAAAGTAAAAACGTCTTGGTCCATACCCATATAAGTTCCAATACATATACTTATTGTAAGAGATCCAATACATATTTTGTAAATAAATAGTTTTCATTTTAGTTAAGTTATAAGATATAAATGATGTGTGAATGTGTGTATAAGTGTAGGTATATACATCTGTATAAAGATATATGTTTAAAGCAAGTGATACATCCTCCAACGACTAATTATTCAAGTTTGTAGTCTTAATAGTTGCTGCTGAGCTAGTAATCATTCTTCTTTGCTAATATTTGTTTCCACACAACCAAATATAAACGTGAGTTTATCCGGAAGAACTGATCAGAGCAGCGACGGGCCCAATAAAGGCTGCGTTGATGTAAGTTGTGGGCTCTGCATGAGAGTAATCTGATTTTTTGTCGCTATACTGGTCGGATGAATTCGGTCCGCCCACAATTGCGCCGGTATGCACATTCGGGTTTGGTGTATCAGAATTGTAGTATGAATATCCTCCATTGCAGTCGATTTTCTCCGGTTTAGATTGGATCGACGGTAAAGATGAGCCTCTATGATGAGGTTGTGTCGGGTACTTTGTTCCAAATCCAACCATGTAAGACATTTTCATTGGATTATTTCCAAGGATGTAATCGACCTGAAAAATTAAACCGGTTGGTTAACAAAACGTAAACGGTGTACAAAACCGGACTAGTGGGTAACTTATTTACCTGTGATTTGGCGAAATTTCGAATTTGAGATAGGGTGAACTGGGTCGAACCACACTGGATTGAACCAACCCGGGCTTTGGTAAGAGTTTTTGAGTAATGGAACAAAACAGTTGTAGCCGTTGTTACATATTGTAAGTTGCTACTGTCTCTAATAAACAAAAGGCCACCTGAATAAACAAAAAGTATACAGATAAATGTAACCATAAAACCAACGCCAAAGGAAAATAAAAAAAACTCAAAACCAATTAACCGGTGAAAATTACCAGGAGTTGGCTTAATTTGTTGAGAGCTACTTCCTGGCATCAATGCACAGACGAATGATTCAACATCGGTCTTAAATTTTGCCAAGTCATTTGTCCCATTATAAAACTCCTTAAAATAAGAAAATAACAAGAAAAAAATTAATTTAGATCAACTTAATGTTATAGAATTTAGCATTAATTGACCGTTATTGATGTACTAACCGATGCGAGCAAAGCCTGAGCACCGGCGAATTTGTTGTCCCAGCTGAATTCATTCACGGCTTGGCTCCAATCTTTATTGCTTATAACATAATTTATGTAACTCTTCTCTCCTGTTGCTTTGTATAACCAAGTAGCAGCCCATAATAGTTCATCCTATTTTTATCCCAAAATATTTTAAAACATAAGTGTCTTGTTAGAAATTCACCATTTACATACGTAACATGAAAACGACAGTTTACCATAAAAAAAACATGAAAACGTCCGTAGTTTATTCGGTATTATCTATGTGTACTGGTTTGATTCGATTTTATTACCTGGTAGCCAGAGTATGAGCAGTAGAAAGGGCAAGATGCTTGGTAAGAACCTCTATACTTATCAGCAAATTCAAATAGCTGCCACACAATAGATAAAACTACGTTACCACATGATTGAATTAATGTAATGATTTTTTGGGACAATATATGAATAACAAACTCACTGATTTAGCATGGCTTAGAAGCGTGGATGAATAAGTAGAATCGACCGATTTGAAAACAAGTGAGGCTGCGGCAAGAGCGGCTGCTGCTTCACCCGCGGCTTCGGAACCGGGGGAAGAGGAAGAGATACTGTAGAGAGTTCTTGGTGTGTCCATATCTTCTGGCCTCTCCCAACAACTATGATCTGAATTCCCATCTCCCACCTTTTTATATCCATTATAAAACAAAACCAAAAATAAGTATTTGAATTTAGATAGTGAATTTCTTGAATATTATATATAGAGGTATATAGTTATATATGATACAAGATATATAGAATGAAAAGTTGGTTTACTTGTGTATATAGCATGGTGGGCGAAGGATGAGCGCGGAGGATAAAATCGGTTCCCCATTTGATAGTAGACCGGAGATAACCGAGCTGGTTAACGGAAGAAATCTCATTTTGGTATTCAATTGCTGCCCAACTCAACAAGGTTGTGGTAAATGACATTGGCCACACAAATTTTACATTGTCACCAGCATCGTAATATCCTCCAATTAAATTCACCTGAAAAATAAAAAGCACCCAAAAATTGGTTAATATTAATAGATAGCATAATCAGAGCCGGCGCTGGAGGGAAGCATGTGAAGCACATGCTTGCGGCCCTCCATAAATATATAAATTTTCGGCCCCATTTTTGACTAAAATCTTATGTAGCTATGTTGGTTAAGTATATAGGTTTGGTAACTAGAGGTGGAAGGTTTGATTTTCCCAAGTCCCAATCATTTCAATTAATTTTAATTTTTGTTTTTAAGGTAGTTTATAGGCCATAATTTTTTTTCGGCTTGTGGCCCAATATTCTTTAGAGCCGGCTCTGAGCATAATGCAAAAAAATAGATAGCATAATGCCTATATGCATATAGAGATGTTTATGAATATAGACAGTTTACATTAGCTAGTGAACCATCAGAGAGGGCAGAATCGGCTCGCCATTTAACCCGTTGGTTAGTCGGGAGTTTACCGGATCTTTGGCCTTCAAAGAACAAGATTGACTTGTTTAGTGCATCTCCGTAATCAAGAGCTTCCAAGCTTTCGAAAGCCAAAAACATCATAACTAACATTAACACCAAGAGCTTTCCCATTATTTATTGCTAGAACTTTTTCAAGAAATGTTTCTCTTTTTAAATGGGTTTCGAGTGTTTTTTGATTTTGCATGAAATGTGGTTAATAGGGGTATTTATAGATACCGCATGCAAGTAAAGTTGGGTACGTAAGTTCATTTCATGAGATGTTTCACGTAATTTTAGGGTAATTTGGCTGCACTGTTTTTATGTTCTCTAACAAGAATTAAGTTTCGATGATTACGGAATTACAATACTGTATAAGGTTTTTGATATAGCAAGTTGTAGTTATTGAAATTTCACATCGTATAATTTTTCCTAACCACCATACTTTATTTTTTCTCTTCTATCTGTGAAGGTTTAATGTAGGAGTTTTAATATATTTGCTTAATTAAATAAGGTTTTTCTGGCTTATTTACAGCGAAACAAAATATATCGAACACTACTTTTTTAAATGGTTGTTTTCTTTGTTGTTTTTTCCTAAAACTAATAAACAATATGTAAAACCTATGTAGTTCTATATCAGTTTATATCAGCTTCTTAACAAATACATACTTATAGGTCCTGTTATATCAAGACATAAATTTTGGAAGTACTTACGCAAATATATTGTTGTGAAATTGTAAAAATAATTTTTAACGATTGTTTGTATCTGAAACTTTAATATATTTTTTTTATATGAATATGAAAAAGATAGTACAAGGTTTTGGTTAACAATGGATCAAAATCGAATACGCCGATTCCATACCTAGACTTTTGGATATACAAGAAAAATAACAAATTTTAGTCAAATAAAAAGAAACCATATTTTTCATGGATAATGTATGTATCCCACAATCCAGGTTCACCAAGATAAACAAAGAAAAAAACTTCATTTCCTAATCCCTTTGTTAACAACAATTCAATTGAATATTTGCTACTTATCTACTAGCTCGTATATATTTCTACAACTTATCTACCGGCTCGGAAAATGATATTGCAAATTATTAGATGATGTACGAATTAATTAACTAGACAAATAATAATAAAACCCGCATAGGACGAAAACATAAACATTGGAAGTGAGCAAATAGGTTCACTTAGCGAGCATAATAAATGGTAAGATGAAAATTTGATCTAAAAAAGGGCACCCTAATCTAAATGTAAAAACGTAAAACTATCATTTTTCACGTGTGAGAATACTGATTGACTGGGACTAGTACGTGGTAGTAATATGGAGATGTCGTGCCGTAGAAATGGTTGTATAAAACATTTCAGCACCCATTCCTCAAAACGTCAATGTTAGATTTTGCCGTTAGTTTTATTTTGTTTTCAGTTGTCATAAACTTATTCCAGTTATCAGTTATTATAATTAATTGTTTGTTGTTCCTGTTTTCCTGCTAAGTGTAAACCTATTGCACAAATTTCTTGCGTGTTCACCGTATATATGTTTTTAATTTCTCTCTCGTTATTGGGTTTTTAATGAAACAAAATGGAACTCAACTAGGGACAGTTAATCAAATTGGATGTACTAGTTCAATCAATTAATTAATTGATGGTGAATTGGTGATTGACGTTATTTTGATGGTTTTGAAAATTGGTATGATATGTTTAATAGTGTTAAAATGACATTCATGGGCGGATCCAGAACATATTTTAACCCGGGACACAATATTTTTTACATCATAGTATAATTTTTTTTTTTTCAAATTTATTTTACTTTCTTCTATATTTGAAATATTTTCATTACTATCTCATATGTTATTATGACAATATTATGTTTTAACAAAATAAACTAAGCAATCGTTTAAAATTTGTTTAGCCCAACGACACCTCATATTATATCTCATAACTACCGTTCTCACTTATTAGCAACTAAACATTTATGTGGGCTGAGTACATATTTTCTTTTTTAATTGGTTAATATGGTATTTTTAATGTTGTTTTCTTTGTATTGTTAACGTGGACTATTGTAGTGTATAGCAAAATTACTTGAAAAAATAAAAGAGTATAGGGCACTTGCCCACCCCACGTATGCCGTGGATCCGCCACTGATGACATTGTTCGTGAAATATAAGGAGTATTTTTTAAAGAGTTTGCCGCTCTATCATATCCTTCCAAAGATATGAAAACATTTTTAGTTTTAAATTTTTAATTATGATTTAGTGATTCTATTATGCTCCTCATTCTCACAATTTATTGCTACTATGCATCTTTGTCTTATCAATTTATGCCAAATGAGATCATTATAGACATTTCAACCTCAAAGAAGTTTATAAATACAACATATAAAATATTAATTTTGGTCAGAGTCGATGGTTATAAGGTGATGGGCATGATGGCAAAGCATGTGACAAAGTTTTATGTCCACTATTTTCTTTCCGCCTAACGCAAATTCGTGTACGTTACATCTCCCTATTAATAATGCGTTAATTACTCCGCCAAGCTCATTTTCATTTATGATTTACCTGACATTTTCATGATATGATTTAAACCAAAAAAAAAAAGTAACGTCATATTTTTACAGTCATATTAACTCATTATGAAATTCAAAATGAAAGGACTTAACTAAAGATCATTTTTCTTCATCTGGAGCAGAGCTCTGAAACTGGAACCACTTATTTGGAGTCTTGAAGCAAATTCATGCATCCTTGGCACTTGGCAGTATAATGTATCTAGCTTCAAAGCTGTTTTAATTAGCTAGTCTGGAGTGGTTCATTGATGATAATTCTATATTTCTACTGATCAAATTGTGAAAATTGACAAATAATAATACTAGCCAAAGTAATAATTGAAAATCTCCTCTGCCGTGGATATATGATGGGCCTTGACCAGAGAGTATAGTGTTTGGTTCACCTCTTGGATAAGAAATCAATTTCAAGCTCATCTTTCTATATACAGAGAAACTTGGATCTTGTACTTAATAAGATGAAACATCCATAAAAAGGTAAAGATAAAGATGATATAGCTAGGCCAACAAAATCCTACAAGTAAATAAAATCTTGGGCCAAACTTTAATGTTCTTAAAAGGAATGAACTTAGCTACAAGTCTACGAATCTTGTCTTTGCTGCCTAAATTCGTGGCATATCGTTTACACCTCTGTGATCAAAGAGAATGGTTTGATTCACAAAGGATGCAATGCACCGCTTCAACAATATTTGATCTGTATAAATCAATCTTGGGCTTGAAACGTTCAGCTTTCGTCACTAACACTCCAATGCAAACTTGTGTTGGACTGATCCGATCCTAGAAGACCATGTTTACAGATGCTAAGTTCTAACACTTCCTTGTCAGTCTGCAACTTAAAGAAATATTTGAGAAGCACCAGATCCATTGACATCCTCCATGAGCCATTAAGGTGACTTGCCTCCATGACCATCCGTGTCTTGGAACTCCAACAGTGTTGGACCAACACTAACTAGTGAGCTGCCTTGCTTTTAGATAATTAGACAAAGAATTCAACAACCACTCCATACTGCTTATTGGTCTCAGATGTTATAACAGTCAAGATCAAAATAAACAGAGAGCTAAAGAAATCGAACTGGAAAGATGGAAGGGGCCGCTCAAACGCAGGTCCCCAAAGCAACAAATAATGAAGCAAACTCCCAAAGTGCAATGGAAGTCACTAGCCTAGGCCACGGATCTTCTTGAACACCCGTAGAACCCGTCCAGGTAAGTATCTTTTAAGGTTCGACCTATCCTCTTATTTATACATACAATACAAGTCATAGCTGTCTCAGAGTGAATTTGCCATGTGGGATGTCTTCACCCAAAAAAGAAACCATTTGTTTCCTCATCAAACTTACTTCTTTCCATGCGAGACTGTAAAGAAAAATGCTACACTTCTGACAGAAGCAGTGGGACTGTTCTAATCTTATATGACTGACAACTTTCCAACCTGTAGAATGGATCTCCTCAAGCCAGTATCATAGAAACTCAAAGTCCCTCGAGCCAATCAGATGCAACCTAAGGTCATTAACGAAGGTCTGGTTCGAGAGTTAGTAATAGAATGACTTGCCTCAACCAAACATGGAACAAAAGTTTGAACTAGAGGTAACGCAGGCCCCCGCTGCCACAAATAATGACGCAGGCTCTTCCACATGGGAAGACCTTAGGCTAAGCACCCTTCCATAATGTGCAATGGAAGTCCAGGTAAGTACTTTTCAACGCTCGACAACCACCTTCTTTTATACTGCTACACACACCTGTGCCATCCTCAAGTTTCCGATGTGGGAGAAACAACACTATCTAGTATATCTACTATAGGCAGGCTTTCGTTGTTTGAGTAGCCCAAGTTTTACCTATTGATGGGCCTTTACGATTATATCTCGGCCCATATCAAACCCACTTGACAGTGTTTGTCTTTTTGACTTGTTCTTACCTCAATTTCTGTCACTGAACACTATATTAGTCACAGAATTCTCTTTCAATGTTATTTGCATGGAACTAAAGAAACATTACAGAGGCAGTTTTGTATAATTAAGATAGAAAAAAAGACTATTCAAAAGAAGAAGAGGGCTTTTAGTGATAGTGATTCCCAGATGCAACCTTCGACAATTGTTAAAATAGTGTGGTGCGACCGTGTTAACAACAATACAACACTATAGTATTCTCATAATCAACAAATTACTAGAATATGTCTAAAATTTTCGGCTACATCCATTAGTTTTCAAATTTTCAAATTTCATTGACATTTTATCAACTAGTACATACAATTCTTGTCATTGTGATTTGTGGGTCAGTTAATTGACTCGTAAACAAATTGATATGATACTACATAAATTGACTTCAACCACATCCACTTGACACTAAATAAATTGACATCTCCATCCCTATCCACACATATTTGAATCTTCCAATAAAGGTTCCACGAAACCGCGAGGAAAAACTTAGTTGCTCAATTTCCCACTTTGGTTCATCATCATATGCACATTACCAATCAAATCCATTTTTGTTTTGTATTGTTTCGGTCACCTACGTAATTTCAGAACATTATTTTTGAACTCTATAAAATAAAAGTACATGAAATTTTTTAAAGTTAAGTAAAAAAATTCCAACAAAATATTTTATAAATCATAGGATTCCGAAAACTATACATTCAAAATCTCACCTTTAAAAAAAAAAAAATCAAATCTCACCTATTTATTTTAGAGAAATTGTTAAAAATGCCCATTTTTCAATACCCCTTTTCAAAAATGCCCTTTTTGAGAGTCCATTTTTAAGTTTGTCCTCTTTTAATTTTTAATGACCATTTTACCCTTATTTGAAACAAAATTAGGTCCACAAAATACAAAATATTTTTTGGCGGGAAAAGTGATCCCGCAATTTTCCCGCCAAAACACTTGTAAAAACCTTTAAAATACCTTGTAAAATTTTCCCGTAAAAATTTTTCCCGCCAAAAAATTTTTTTTGCGGGAAAAGTGATTCCGCAATTTTTTTGGCGGGAAAAATTTACAAGGTATTTTAAAGGTTTTACGGAGTATTTACAAGTGTTTTGTAAGGTTTTACAATGTATTTTAGAAGGTTTTGCAAGGTACTTATAAGGTTTTATAAGGTATTTATAACTTGTAAAACGTTATAAAAAACTTGTAAAATCTTATAAAATAGCTTGTAAAATCTTATAATATCTTATAAATACTTTATCAATACGTTGTAAAACCTTTTAAAATACATTGTAAAACCTTATAAATACCCTATAAAAACCCTTTAAAATACCTTGTAAATTTTTCCTGCCAAAATTTTAACGCCAAAAAATTTGCGGAATCACTTTTCCCGCAAAAAAATTTTTTGGCGGGAAAAAATTTTACGGAAAAATTTTACAAGGTATTTTAAAGGTTTTACAAATTTTTACAAGTGTTTTGGCGGGAAAAATTGGGGGATCACTTTTCCCGCCAAAAAATATTTTGTATTTTGTAGACCTAATTTTGTTATATTTCCTTATATATTTATGATATCTTTTATTAAAAGAAGGGTAATTTAGTCATTTTGTACATAAAAGGGATATTTTTAAAAATGGACATCCAAAAGGGACATTTTTGAAAAGAGGTATTGAAAAATGGGCATTTTTGTGAGTCTCCCTTTATTTTATGCACAAAATTTAATTTACAGAAAAAGGAAAGATATTATTTTTTGACAAAATAATGAGAAACTTTGTGGAAAAAATGGAAAAATATTAAATTATTGTTTTTTTTTTTTTTTTTGGGCTCGAACTCTTCAACTCCCTCAACACAAGTCGCATAAAAGGAACAATCTAGAAGAAGAACGATAGTATCCATCTCCTTTATATTCCTTCTTTCATTGTGGTAAAAGGAGACAACTTTGGCCTCTACTTCATTCTCCTTGTTTGAAATTCATCATCTTCTTCGATTCTAAGCAGTTTCAAGGAAACCCAAATCGAGATGGCTAAGGAACTTGCTGATAAGGCTAAAGAGGCTTTCGTAGACGACGACTTCGATGTTTCTGTTGACTTTTACTCCAAAGCCATTGACTTGGATCCTAATTGCGCTGAGTTCTTCGCTGATCGTGCTCAGGCCTATATCAAACTCGAAAGCTTCACTGGTAACTTCTTACTTCTGTCATCTTCGTCGACGCCTTTTGGGGTTCTGGGTTTTTCATGTTTTCGGTTTCTTATTTCATTATAGCTGAAAGATGTTGAATTTGCTGGATTATGTGAATCTAGGGTTTAGTTTTGTGTCCTGTCGCTTGGTAGTGTCACAATTCTTCTTAAAGTTTTGAGCTTTAGAATCAATTTAATGCAAATATGTTTCTCTTTTGTTGTTTGTGGAGGAACAATGTATGAGAATTGCTTTCATGAGAAACGAAATTGAGTTTATTGTTGTCAGCAGTGAGTGCCCTTTACAAGTTATGCATCTAGAAACATTGATGGAGTTGGTTTTGACTGTGCTAGTCTTTTGATCCGTTGATTATGAATATGGAGAATTTGGTATTACAGAGAGTTAACAGTAGTGAAAGTTTCAATCTTTGCTTGAGTGATTAGTCTTTACTTCCACTATTTCTTGCCCATTGTTACTTGTGTTGACGTTAGTTTTATCGAACTTTACTGGTTGGATTAGATTTGGGTCTGATTTGTTTCTCAATGAGCAGAGGCCGTGGCAGATGCGAACAAAGCAATTGAGTTGGATCCTTCATTGACCAAAGCTTACCTAAGAAAAGGGTACGGTATAACTATTTCCTCCTATGTATCATTGTTAATCCTGTATATAAGTATTAGTAAGAGTTAGATTTATCTGATACCTTAATCCTCAGTTTGTTTTGTTACCAGTTTATATGGTCTACAGTTGTGGTATATTTCTGTCAAACTATCACTTCCAGTCTTCCAGAGTTCATATTTTGGTTTTTGTATTTGTAGAACTGCCTGTATGAAGCTTGAGGAGTATCGGACTGCTAAAACAGCTCTTGAAAAAGGTGCTTCTATGGCACCGAGTGAATCCAAATTTAAGAAGTTGATAGATGAATGCGATTTTCAAATCACAGGTATAGTATTCTTAATGTTTTGTTCTTGTTTTCTGGTTGATTATGTTTACATGCCTAGAGTGATTGTATTGTTTGCAAATGGTACAAAATATTTTGTTATTCACTTAAGGTTTCGATTTATGGAACTTGTTAATATCTTTTTCAGAAGAAGAGAAAGATTTGGTTCAACCGGTGCCTTCGACTTTGCCTTCAAGTTCAACAGCACCACCAGTATCTGAACTTGATCTTACCCCTGCACCTGCAGCACCAGCTAAAGCCAAGTACAGGTAGTTTTATTGCAGAAAACAATGCTAGATTCAAAATTTCCATGTTTTAAAGAATCATCAAATATCTCATATTCTTGAGTGTTCAACAGACACGAGTTCTACCAAAAGCCAGAAGAAGTTGTGGTAACTGTTTTTGCAAAAGGAATACCCAAACAGAATGTTAACATCGACTTTGGTGAACAAATTGTGAGTATACGGCTCTTAAGAACCCAACTCAATGATGCTTCTGTGTGATTGTGTGTTGATACTTTGGTATTTTTTTGTGATTTGCAGCTGAGTGTTGTGATTGATGTTCCTGGAGAGGAGGCGTATTATCTCCAACCGAGATTGTTTGGAAAGGTAATTTATTTGTTGAATGAATTAATGTTGGTGTTCCTTTCAGCACTCTGAGCTGAACACATTATATAATGTTTTGTTTACGGTGTATGTTCAGATAATACCAGACAAGTGCAAATATGAAGTATTGTCAACTAAAATTGAGATCCGTCTTGCAAAAGCCGATATAATCACATGGGCCTCCCTCGAACACGGCAAAGGGCCAGCGGTTTTGCCAAAGCCTAATATCTCATCAGGTTTTCTACCTTTTCTGTCTTTAGTTTCATCGGATGAGCTTAACAACAGTCTCTTGTCATGTAAATCTTATGTTGTGTGTATGATGATGCAGAGGTTTCGCAGAGGCCAGCTTATCCATCTTCTAAGAAAGTTAAGGACTGGGACAAGCTCGAAGCTGAAGTGAAGAAACAGGTCTGTTTCTTACCATAAAAGCCTTGACCAAACTTATTTGTTTTTTCTTTTCTTTTTGTTTGATTGTGGTCGATTTGCAGGAAAAGGATGAGAAGCTGGAAGGAGACGCAGCTTTGAACAAATTCTTCCGTGAGATATACCAGAATGCGGATGAGGATACAAAGCGAGCGATGAGCAAATCATTTGTGAGTATCTATCTATATTCTCTTCGGTCTTTCTCTTTTCATGGAGTCATTTACCAGTTTTCGGGGTTTGAACAATGAACAGGTGGAATCGAATGGGACAGTGCTGTCAACAAACTGGCAAGAGGTTGGGACTAAGAAAATCGAGAGCACTCCGCCGGATGGCATGGAGCTCAAGAAATGGGAGATCTGATCTCTGATATGATATGATCCTTGCTTTTGTTGCATTTGTGGGTTTTGCCTAAATCTAGACTAGTCTTAAAACCTGGTCCCTTTCTTCCTGTAATGAGGGTCCTAAGGTTTTTTCCTTTTTGATAAATATGGCTTTCTACTTATGCTATGTTGTTGGTTATGGTCTTAGGACTCAACTTTTTTTGATGTTTTATTTATAAATATTCATAATTTCATCATCATGATCACTGTTCTTGAGTTTTTCTTTGAAACTTAAGTCTGCAAAACCAAAGAGATAGACATTGGAGATTCTATATTGTCACTTTAGATTTGTTTTAAACTTTCTAGTATGGAGAAAGAAAAGAAAAGAACAATGTTAATTTGTATACAAAAAAACTCCCAAATCTCACAACTTTATGTGTTCATATTTATTTTGTTTATTCAAAAAGACGCATAACCAAATTCAACTTTCTTTTCCGATAAAATTGTGAGTTGTTATATAAATCTATCAAAAAAAAAAAAGGGAAGAAAACTAAGGCGGCCTATGATCATATATCTATGAATAATCCACACATCAAAAACAAAATCTACAAGTTTTCTCAACAGCCAAAAAAAAAACCCTAAAAGCCTCTCTTCGACAATGGTGAATACTTTAGAATCAGCTTCATCAGCATCATGATCCTCTTGCTCTTTATCAACCAGTCTGCAGTTTCTTCTTCTGCACGCATCCGTCATTTAGAAGGTCGAGATCATCTTGCTCACCACCGGACACTTGATGAGGTTGAGAAAGCTGATAAGGAACGTCTCACTTTCGTGTTTAGAACGAAAGAGACTGACACCAATCTCGCTGAAAATGTTTCTCTCCTGTTTCCCCAATTTCCTCGATATACATATTGTAGGTGGCCTATTACAGTCACTGACACTATAGGGCTTTGAGTTTGTTGCATTAGGGTTCTTTATTACCTCGATTGGTACTCCATGAATCATGTAAACCCTATTTTTTGCAAGACTTTGTAAACTCTTCTTCTATTTAAGACTGATAGCATGATCCGTAATTTGCGTTCCTAATTAACAAGGTTTATCATCTGGTAGATCTAACTGATCAGTATATAATTTAATCTATTTGCTCGAGATTGAACGTGAACATTATTGTAGTGTTAAAAACAGAGATGGTGTACGAGGTAATCAGGTAAAACCCTTGTTTGAAAAATCGCTAGGCGCTAGTCGGGCGCTCGGCATGGGCCTAGCGATTAATCGGAAAATCGGATTAAAATCGGGGATTAATCGGGGATTAGTTTTAGGGTTATTTTAATATTTTTAAAATATATTAATCCAATATTATAAAAATTTATGATTTTTATTACAAATTTATGATTTTTATTAAAATTTGAACACAAGTTATTGTAAAACATCACAAACTCTCCATTCAAATGATTGAATAACAAAAATAAAAAGTTTTTTATACTTGCAATCTAAAAAATAATCGGGGTATATAAGATTAGGCGGAAAGTAATCGGATTAAGCGGAGAATAATCGGGTTACTGATTTTTTAGGGGATTAGTCATTAATCGAGGCGGATAAGGTGGGCCTAGCGATTAAGCGGGGAGTAATCGGGGCTAGGCGGGGATTTTTAGAACAGGGGGTAAAACTATCGTAGAAAGTGTTTCAATTATTTGTTTACCTGTTACCTTTTTAAAAATGTTAATTAGGTATATAATTTTTTTAAAAATTATATAGTATCTTTAACAATATCTATAAAATACCACTATTACAAAATATCATTATAATAATGATGTAGTCCTAGAAATATCCATGACTCATCAAGGATTGGTTCAAGGAAAATCAAGATCAAATTATAAAGAAGTTTCTAGAAGACAATCAATTCATGACTATATCAAGAAAGTGTCTAGATACAAAGAACCAATCTCCATCAATGTTGATTGATAAAATCTCTCAAATTTATTCTTGATTGATTCATGTAATTAATTTGATTTATTTTGTACTTATGTTATTGATTTGTAAATTGAGCTTATATAAGCTCATGTTTTCCTTCATTGTAAATATATAGATTTTTGGAAAAAAATAAAGAGAGAGTTTCTCACTTTTAAAAGCTTAGGCTTTTGTTTTACTTGTTTTTTTTCTATTGTGTGTGATTCCTTTAGAAAACAAATGGAATCTTTATCTTTGTGTGCGATTCATTTAGATATTGATTTGTGTTCTTATCACAAAGTCATTCCGCAACTTTGTGTGGCGAACTTCGATCCATCCAACTATCCATCTCCATCTCTATCGAATCTGTTGAGAGTGACCTTAGTCCAGCGACAGTTTCACCATCTATTCACTTCTATCTTCATCTTCCCTTCCATTCGAATCTGTTGAGAGCGACCTTAGTCCAGCAACAGCTTCTCCATCAATCACCACGCTCGTTCATATATCAAATAAATACTCCATATATGATATATTGTTCTTTTATAAACGTAAAATTCGGGACTAAAAATCTCAAGCTATTCCCTAATTAAGAGCAACCACAATGGTTAGAAATAAGTTTTGAGTTTCTTATAATTTAAATATTAATATTTTAATATAAAAATAAATAGACCACTAAAAAGAAGACAAATGTACAAAAGGTCTCTAAAATGTTTAGAAACATTCCTTATATAAGGTATGTTTCTTGTTCTCTCTCTTCTTTTTCTATTTTTTTTTAATATTTTAATGTTAAGGTACCTTGTAAAAAACCTCCATTGAGGTTGCTCTAAGATCTAATTAACCGGATATTTTTATCATTCAAACAAACATTAAAATAGATGGTTTAAATAAAATACTTAATTATACCATATATGATGAATGTTGGGAATATTTCAAAATGTACCACATTTAAACAAATGACATTCAAAATGTACCACTTTCGCAAAAGCCTTTCAAAATGTACCATTTCTCAATTGCACGCGCTCGACCATGGACGAAAATACCCCTGATTGGGACAGAGAGGCTGTGTCAGAGACGGAGACAGCTTCTATCGGCGCTTCCAAAGAAGGAGCAGGGCATCAATTAATGCTGCACGGTTACATGTGGTAGATAATTGATTTTAATTAATAGAAATGATAATAGAGTAGGGTTAGGCCATTAATTGCTCTCTTAATATATCAGACAAAAGAGCTTTGTAGATCTGAAAAAACTGGAAATCTGGGGAGAAAACTCTGATGCTGGGCGAAATTGGAGTTCTGGTTGAAGAAGGGTGCATTTAAAGCTAAAGAAGGTAAAATTTATTGCAACATTTTTTGTCCACCGAAAAAGGGTAGATTTGTTTGTTTGTGATAAATGCAACCACCCACATTCTACATTCTAAGATGGTGGTATTTATTGGAGGACGACAGGTACTGATGGACGAAGGAGTAATGATATTGGTCGGTTGCTGGGAATGCAAAGAAAGTGGAGAGTGGCGATTCAAGATGTCGGCAAAGAAATATGCAAAGTGTGTAGACGTAAGCGCAGGAGATACGATTGCCGATGTTGAGCAGAAAATTGCCGCAGCGTTTGGAGTAGACAGAAGAAGAACAAAAATGGAGCTGAGTTTTTGGTTCGAAGGAGGAGACACTGTCTACACGCAGCAAAAGATGCCGCCAGTCTCTGTTGACAGCGAGAGTTCATTGTCGAAATTCAAAAAGGTAAGAATAGAAAAGGGAGGTATGAACATGTATCTATGTTTAGAAGAAGACGATGAAGATGTGTCAAATCTCGGGGGACAAGACGATTGTCGGGGACAAGAAATGGCGGGACAGCACAGAGGTGAGAGTGAAAGCACGCAGATAATTCCTGTAACTTTTGAGGAAGAGGACTTTTTAGAGGAAATATATGCGTTTGAAGAATCTTATAAAAGGAAGGAAGCTGTGCTGCAAAAGGGAAAAGCTAAGCGGGGACGAGAAGAGGAACTGGTGGTAGCATTGGGCACGGATAGTGGAGGATGGGCATCCGAGTCGGAAGACAACATGTTAAGTGAGGGAGAAGATTCAGGCGACTATGACTTTGATAATATGAGGGAGTTGATCGATAGGGAGTACCCGCCAGATTGGGATCCTTGGAAGGATTCGAGGAAGAAAGCATTGACAATTGCAGACGGATCGCCGGGGGGACAAAATGGTAGAGTTGAGGACGATATATATTCCGGTATGGAGGACGATATATACGAGGACGATATGTATGTGGGGGACGAAAGTGTGGATGCACAAGGAGGACAAACCCAGCCAATACTAGTCGATGTCGAGGTTAATCAGATGGACGGAAGGGAAGATACCACAACATTTGATGAAGGTGAAGAGGAATGTAGAAAACTGCGGGGACAAAAGGGGACAACTTCACAAGGATGGGGACAAAGTGCAGAAATGTCACTCGAACTGACAGAATCGTTGGGTCCACCAGAGGGACAAAACCAGCCAATACTAGTCGAAGTTGAGGTAAATCAGATCGATGGAAGAGAAGATGCGACAGCATTTGTTGAAGGTGGAGAGGAAAGTGGAGACATGTCAATTCAACTGGGGCAGACCAGAATGAGGCAAGTGGACGTTACGGTGACACCGTTGGTAAGAAGAGAAGATGCCTCAACTTTTAAGGCTTTTGAGGAAGGAGAAGGACAAGGAAATTTGGAGGTGACAATGGGATGTAGTGTTGGAGAGGAAAGTGCAGAAATGGGGCAGATAAGGTCGCAACTTACAATGGGGGAGACAATGTTTACTGAACTTGTGGGGGACGATATTGTGATGGGTAGAGATGCCGCACCGTTCAGGGACAACGCAGTCGGAGTTGCGCAGGACAAGGCTAACATGAATCTTAGGAAAGCTGGGGATTCAATATATATTGGGCGGATATTCCAGAACAAAGGCGAGTTGCATAAGGCATTAACTGTGTACTCTATAAAAAGGCTATTCAATTTCCGAATAAAAGCTTCCGACAAGACGCGTGTAATTGCAGTATGCCATGATAAAAAATGTAATTGGAGGGTATATGCAACGTTTCACGAGAACTCGGAGAATGTGGAAATTCGAACAGCGAGTCTAAGACATAGTTGTGATGTGAAAGTGCGGTCAAAGTACGGGATGAAAGCAACACGATCGATTCTAGGCGAGTTGCTAAAAGCAAAATATGCGCATGGAAAGAAGGGACCTAGAGCCTGTGAACTACCAGAGATAGTATTGGCTGTAATAAACGTTACCATATCATACATGAAAGCTTGGACCTCTAACGAGATGCCGATGAAAAAGCTCGTGGCAGTG